TATATATGTATTCAAACATTTTATGTATTTTTATAAAAATTTCTTAGATTCAAGGAAATATTTTCTTGAATAGTTCGAAGTAAATAATATCTACATGGCTCTATTAAAGTATTCATTTTAAACAAGAGTCTTTGTTTTTACTGTTAAAAAATATTTTATTTCAAGAAAATAGTTATTCAGAAGTATTCTAAAAAATGTTGTCTCCGAATGTTTATTCCGACGAAATTTTTTTTAAGTAGAGCGAAATTGTTGGAAATATGTAAGTCCTTTTATAAAAATGTTACTACAAATGTGTGTAGGATATGAATTGTTAAAACAAATATTGTTGTTTTTCTTCATAAGTAGGTGTAATGAGAAAAAAAAAACCCTTCAAAATAAATGTATAATTTTTTAATACACACGAGTGTAATTGCCGATCTTATTTTTTAAAGCATAATAAAAGAAAGTCAATTTTCCAACTAAAGTTCAAAAGATTTCTATTCAATGAAGGTGTATGTTAAATTTTATGTTTACAAAAGATTTCAGATTGATTTCGTTAAATAGTCCCCAAATGATTTCTCACACCAAACAGCCTCTCGTGAAATTCCTTTTTAATTTTGCTCTTGACTGCCACAGCAGGATGGACAGTCGCGTACATACAAAACATATCATTCAGTCGAGCGTTTAGAGGAAGGAAGAGGATATTTCGCGTAGGCAGTTTTATCAGCGCTGAGTCCCGGTGCCGATAACACGAGCTCGTGTTCTTTTTCCAACCGTTTCGTTGAAAGTAACGGATTTTTGCTACGTTAACGCTATTGTGTTTTTTAACTTTGCCGATTTTTCTAGATGATAAAATACGAGGAAAATAAAATAAAACAAAGATTTTTAACTTTCAGTCGAACACGAGAGGTGAGTTGGATGAAATATCAAAGTTATGCAGTAAAATAGCAGAAGGTGAAGCGATAATCGAGGTAAATAAATAAAGATAGTGCAATGGCAACCTCTTCAATTTATTTTACAAATGGAAAATTTGTATTTTCGCGCGCTTTTTCAAGTTCCGTTTACTTTGCTCTCTCTCCAGTCGGTAACGCAAATTCAGGACATATTTGCCTCTCTTTCTCTCTCTCACACAATGCCGAAAAACGGAGCAAAACCCGGTGTAATTTCCATCAAACATGAAACGTCTCCACCATTTTGGGTTTTGAGCTTCTTCTCGAACTGGCTGGCTCGTTCGCTAGCCGTGCTGTCCGCGTCTGAATGGCGACGACGGCAATCCTCGAGCATCGCCGCTGCCTCGGAGGCTGACTTTAGGATATGAGGTAATTTAAAAAGTTCGTTTTAGCAACATTTATTTCGCGCCTTTATTTATCAACTTTTCTTTTCTCCCTCAATTTTTTTTTTTTTTTTATAAAGTATTCCCAGTAGTAAATTATATACATATGTATGCGGCGTCTACGTATTTTACATGCAGTTGTGTATTCTTTTTTGAATCATTAATTTCCGATTAAATAGATATCCATTACCAATACCCATTGTAAAAAAGTGAGTGCATTGGTCTACTTGGCCCATTTATACTCTAATTAACGTTGATAAACGTTACAGTGAAAGAAAGGTTATCCCAAAAGTATTGTAGTGCTCCGTTTTTTAAACATCTCTTTTTCTCTTACCTTACGTAAATATTATATAATGTTGCACTTGATTGGTACCCCGGCGTTTGGTTATGTATGTACCCTCCACGCGCCGGTTGTCTACAAGTGCAATATCAAACGAGTCTTTTCGACGAGTGGGCTTGATCGTTTTTAATTCAGTTCACTCATAAAAAAGCCATACACATAGTTTCCTATCTTTCCGGTTTGAATCTCGTTTCAGCTGTACTACCATCTAGAACCTTAAACGCTTTGTACTGAATGTACATACTCGAATGTAGAGTTTTATGTACTCATGATGTGATATCCTCTTGGTTGCAGAGCTTCGTAGCATTCCACTTAGGGCAAAGGACCATACACCGTTTAAAGTCCAAGACTCTGTTGTATCCCAGCAGCCAAGATGTATCTGTACAACCTGACGCTACAGCGTGCGACTGGCATCACACATGCGGTCCACGGTAATTTCTCTGGCACCAAGATGCAGGAGATCCTTGTATCGAGGGGCAAGTCTTTGGAACTCCTCAGACCAGACCCCAACACTGGCAAGGTCCACACGCTTCTGGCGGTCGAGGTCTTTGGGGTCATCAGGTCTCTGATGGCCTTCAGACTGACCGGTGGTACCAAAGACTACATTGTCGTTGGCTCGGACTCGGGACGTATCGTCATTTTGGAGTACGTACCAGCCAAAAATGTCTTCGAGAAGGTCCATCAGGAGACTTTTGGCAAGAGCGGATGCAGGCGGATTGTACCTGGACAGTACCTTGCCATCGACCCCAAAGGACGTGCCGTCATGATTGGTAATTGCCATGCAATAACAATTATCACGAAACGCATTAATTTTAATCTATGAAATGATTATAGTATCAGTCCGTGTTTCAACTGAATGCCATTGATTATACAACCTGATAATGATATTACCTAAAAATTAATTTTTTATGCTCAGTCCATACAATAAGCAGTGTCATTAATTCTTTGGTTTGCGTTGCAGGGGCGATTGAAAAACAAAAGCTAGTCTACATTCTCAACAGAGACCCGGAGGCACGTCTCACGATCTCGTCTCCGCTTGAAGCGCACAAAAGCAACACATTGGTTTATCACATAGTAGGTGTGGATGTGGGTTTCGAAAATCCTATGTTCGCGTGTCTGGAAATCGACTACGAGGATGCAGACACAGATCCAACTGGTGAAGCTGCGATAAAAACTCAACAGACATTGACGTTCTATGAATTGGATCTCGGTCTGAATCACGTTGTCCGCAAATACAGCGAACCCCTTGAGGAGGTGAGTTAACGATAATCGATTAAAATACTATCAATTTTATTGTGCTTAACAAATTTGTTGCTTTGTTACGATAGCACGCCAATTTCTTAGTCTCGGTGCCGGGAGGCAACGACGGCCCCAGCGGTGTGCTCATCTGCTCCGAAAATTACTTGACTTACAAGAACTTGGGCGACCAGCCGGATATTCGTTGTCCGATCCCGCGTCGACGTAACGACCTCGATGATCCCGAACGTGGGATGATCTTTGTCTGCTCTGCCACTCACAAGACCAAGAGCATGTTCTTTTTCCTCGCCCAGACGGAACAGGGTGATATTTTCAAAATCACCTTGGAAACAGATGAGGATGTCGTTACAGAAATCAAACTCAAGTATTTCGATACAGTACCCGTAGCCACCGCCATGTGTGTACTGAAGACCGGGTTTCTATTCGTAGCTTCCGAATTTGGAAATCAGTATGTATAAAATTTTCTTAGTTTTTTTTTCTATTTAAAATTTCCCTTCTGATTTTTTTCTTATTGAAATTGTCTGTTGCAGCTACCTTTACCAAATCGCTCACTTGGGTGACGACGACGACGAGCCGGAGTTCAGCTCTGCAATGCCTTTGGAAGAAGGTGACACTTTCTTCTTTGCACCAAGGCCATTGAGAAATCTAGTCCTCGTTGACGAAATGGACAGTCTTTCGCCTATTTTGGCGTGCCAGGTAAATTGAAAACTTACTTTGGAGCACCCTGTAGTAAAACCTCGCACTCACAAGTAGGGAGAGAATGACGCCACGTGGTTCTTTCTCTGTGATGAGTGCGAAATTAAAACATACTTTGTCGCCTTTGACTTGTTATTGCATGTCGAAGTGAATCAAAGTATGACAGCCGACTCCTGAAATCCAAAAAAACTCGTCAAGATTCAACTTTTTCTCAACACTGTCAATGCAAACTGTACTTTTGTAGGTTGCTGATTTGGCCAACGAAGATACGCCACAGTTGTACATAGCCTGCGGTAGGGGTCCACGCTCGACGCTCCGAGTACTGCGACACGGTCTCGAGGTCTCGGAGATGGCGGTTAGCGAGCTGCCCGGTAACCCCAACGCCGTATGGACCGTCAAAAGACGCATTGACGGTTAGTTGCATTAAAACATAAGCGATATTTCGCTTCCACACTTTTTTTTTATTAATTTTTTTTTTTTTTTTTTACACTCGTTTAATTGATTAAGCTATAGATAGGGAAGTTCATTGATTCATAGTAACATTTTAAAAGACTTGAGTTAATGGGCAAAAGTAAATTAAGTCCGGAAGAACTTATTTTGTTGTATCCCAAGTAAAACGGATTCATCGAACGACACGTTGTTGTTTTTTTTTTTTTTAAGCTTAGATAATTGAAGCCTGGTGATTTGATACACTCTTATCAAACACCAGTTCTTTCCTTTCAGGCAATTGGCAACAGATGATCGGTCGTTCAATACCAGGCTGTTGAATGGGAAAGGTAAGGCATGCTGCGCGTGTGAGAGACGCTATCAACCGAAAGTCACCTACAACTCGAAAAAAAAGAAATTTTTTTTTTCTTTTGACAAATCTGCTGTAATATTGTTATTTGATTATACAAGTACACAACTTTTCGCAGTAAATGTACCACTTTGAAATTGAAATTCAATCATTTTCGATATTTTATTGGTTCGCAAATTACAGTGGATTTACCAGATTGATTACACAACGACAATAAGGTCCCTGTGATTTTCCCCGATTGAATTAAACCAGACGAGTCGTTATGCTTTTGGTTACAGAGGAATTCGATGCTTACATCATAGTGTCCTTCGTGAATGCCACCCTGGTATTGAGTATCGGTGAAACTGTCGAGGAAGTCACAGATTCCGGTTTCCTGGGTACCACGCCCACCCTCAGCTGTTCTGCTCTCGGAGACGACGCACTGGTTCAGGTAATTAATGACTAAATGTTCATACCGTTTAAAAAGAGAAAAGAAGCATTCCGGTATCTCCGGCGTCTGGATCATCCCCACACGTCGGTCGTATGTGAGTGCAAGATCAAAATGAGGCTTCGCATCGTTGGTGCGCTTGATTCTTCTTGTAGAGCTCTCCTGGTTTACAAGCCTCGACAATTACGTTACGAATACAAACTTTTGAATCAAACAATCGAAAGGGAGTTATTAGTGTTTCAACCAACGATTTCATTGCAGGTTTATCCTGACGGTATTCGTCACATTCGAGCTGACAAGCGTGTCAACGAGTGGAAAGCTCCCGGTAAAAAAATGATCAGCAAGTGCGCCGTTAATCAGCGTCAAGTCGTCATCGCATTGACCGGCGGTGAACTCGTCTACTTCGAAATGGACCCAGTAAGTTTTAACAGCAAACATTAACCGATTAATATTCGCGCCTTGTTCTCTGCAAGTGGTTTTTTATTTTGTAAACTTGTAGATGTAAATAGCGCGTAGAGCACTAGATGCATCTAAGTCATCTTTGACGTGTAGCCGTAGCTTGTTGAAGTTATCACGATGCTAACATTACATTAAGTTGACAAAAAAAATCTATCACTATGTCGTCAATTTGAATTGAGTAAAAAAAAATTTTTGTTCATCCTTACGTAGACCGGCCAGTTGAACGAGTACACGGAGCGCAAGAAAATGCCATCGGAAGTGATGTGCATGGCTCTGGGCAATGTGGCATCGGGCGAACAGCGATCGTGGTTCTTGGCCGTCGGCTTGCAGGACAACACCGTTCGCATCATCTCGCTCGATCCGTCAGACTGTTTGGCTCCGAGAAGTATGCAGGCGTTGCCCGCGGCTGCCGAGAGTCTTTGCATCGTCGAGATGGGTATCAAAGACAGCAACACCAACAACGAGGACGGCAATCAAAACCAATCAACTCTTCATTTAAATATCGGTAATTTAATTTTTCAACTTTTTTTTTTTTTTTTTTTCCAGTGTCACTTTATAGTTCATACCAGATGATTATTCTATCAATGTCCGTGTTTCAACTGAAATATCTTGATTTTAACTTTTATTGATAATGATGGTATTGGTTCATCGAAATACTTCCTTTTGGTTTACACAAGGAAACTTGATAAATCTTTTGTCAATGAATTGCAGGTTTGCAAAACGGTGTATTATTGAGAACAGTCCTCGACCCGATATCCGGCGACCTTTCGGACACGAGAACGCGTTACCTCGGTTCTCGGCCTGTGAAGCTCTTCCGCATCAAGATGCAAGGCAATCAAGCCGTACTTGCCATGAGCAGTCGCTCGTGGCTAAGTTACTACTATCAAAATCGTTTCCATCTGACGCCACTGTCGTACGAGAGTCTCGAGTTCGCCTCGGGCTTTAGTTCAGAACAGTGTCCCGAGGGTATCGTCGCTATATCTACTAACACCTTGAGGTTCGTAAAAAAGAATTTAATATATCAATATTGCTAAGGAAAATTGAATAGAGTATAAGATGGTATGTTTCATTAGGATTTTGGCTCTTGAAAAACTGGGAGCAGTGTTCAATCAGATGAGTTTTCCGTTCGAGTACACGCCACGTAAATTCGTCATCCACAACGAGTCGTCGCACATTTTGGTCCTCGAAACCGAGCACAACGCGTATACCGAGGAAACAAAGCAACAGCGCCGATTACAGATGGCTGAGGAAATGCAAGAGGCGGCAGGTGCCGAAGAGGCTGCCGTCGCGCGTGAACTCGCCGAGGCTTTTCTTTCGGAAGAACCGAACGAGCAGGTGTTTGGTGCACCCAGAGCTGGTCCCGGGCTCTGGGCGTCTCTCATTCGCGTCATGGCGCCTACCACAGGCACTACTTTCCAGGTGCACAGGCTCGAGCAGAATTTGGCTGCCTTGTGGTGAGTTGAGGGTCTAGCTAAAGAGCTGCGTTAGTTTTCTGCAAGAGTTATATCCATAACTTGCAGAGTGTACAAACGCAGAGATAAAATTACTTCTACATCCCATCTTTAGCTTGTAATGGTTACATGTTAAAGTCGTTCTGAAGCAAACAAGTTTTTTTTCGTTCAAAAGTGATTATGGCACAGGTGTAATAAACGATATTCTTTTCAGCTTGGCCATAGTGAAATTCGCCAATCAAGGAGATCAGCAATTCCTGATTGTTGGTGTTGCTAAAGAATATCAACTCAATCCAAGACAAAGTCACGGAGGATACCTTTATACTTACAAGTAAGTTATCAACATAAAAATTTGACGTAGTTGAATAAAAAAAAAAAAAAATTTATTCGAATGATGAGTTTCACACTAACTGCTCACTGATGAGAACCCTGCAGTGCTGACTTTTTATCAAATCATTAAAACTGGTCTGCTCGTTGCAAACAACGTTCTAAACGAAAAATCTTGATGTAAATTTTTAGAATAAACGCCGAGTGCACGAACTTGGATTTGGTGCATCGTACAACCCTCGACGAGATCCCACTTTCTATCTGTGCGTACCAAGGCCGCGTGCTCGTTGGCGTCGGCAAGATGTTGCGTCTCTACGACATGGGAAAGAAAAAACTCTTGCGCAAATGCGAAAACAAGCACATACCCAACGCCGTGATCTGCATTAACGCGATTGGTCAGCGCATCTACGTGAGCGACGTCCAAGAATCGGTGTACGCTGTCAGGTACAAGAGACAGGAGAATCAACTGATAGTCTTCGCTGACGATACGCATCCGAGATGGATTACCACGACTTGCGTCCTTGATTACGATACCGTTGCTACAGCTGATAAATTTGGCAATATCGCTATTGTAAGTATCCATAGGTTGTACGTTTCACGAGACTCCGCGTTTCCCTATCTGCAAAATGTATCCAATGATTTGCGGAATCCGAAATGCGGAGATCAAGCTGCTCATCATATCCCATCTTTAGTTTTACAATCATTGTACTCTAAAGTCGTAATTGAGCAAACAAATCTCTACGTTATAAACACCCTGTCAAACGAACCGTGAGAGTGCAGTTACTGATGTCGATAAATTTTCCAGATCCGTTTAGCGAGTGGAATAAACGACGACGTGGACGAGGACCCGACAGGCAACAAAGCTCTCTGGGACCGCGGTTTACTGAACGGAGCCTCGCAAAAAGCCGACACCGTGACCTGCATCCACATCGGTGAAACGGTGATGTCGCTGCAAAAAGCCACTCTAATTCCCGGAGGCAGCGAGTCTCTGGTGTACACAACTTTAAGCGGTACGGTTGGTGTGCTCGTGCCGTTCACGAGTCACGAGGACCACGACTTCTTCCAGCACCTCGAGATGCACATGCGCGCGGAGCACCCGCCTCTTTGTGGTCGTGATCACCTCAGTTTCCGTTCCTACTATTATCCGGTGAAAAATGTAATCGATGGCGATCTGTGCGAACAGTTCAACAGCATCGAGCCTGCCAAGCAAAAAAGCATTGCCAGCGATCTCGAGCGAACTCCCGCAGAGGTGTCGAAAAAACTCGAAGATATCAGAACGAGATACGCGTTTTAAAAACGTTACTCTGCTTGTATTTACCCCCCCCCCTTTTTTTATGTTTCGGAAGTACGAGACTTTGTCAATCGTAGACGTTTAAGGCTATTTAATTATTAATTAATTTTAGATTAGTAGATATTAACTAATATCCCTACGCAGTAAGAATACTTGCATGTAAAATATACCCACGAGATGCACACAATATTTTCTTGTTTTTGCTTTTTTATTTGTCACACATGCCTAAGGAATGTTACTTTTGGATGATTGTTATTTCAAATGAGGATTTTAGTTTCCTTGGCCTCGTCCGTCTTTTCCTTGTCAATATCGTAGCCTTCAAAAAGCACTAGTTCTCTGTTTCAGTCTTTTTTAAACATGATCTAAGAATTATCAAAAAGTTTATAAATGAACGTTTGTAATAATTGTTTAAAAATAGTATTCACTTGAAACCTGTATGTAGTTACAATAAATTTCTTAAACAAAAGGATTTAAAAAAAAATAAAATCCGTGTAGCAGTTGAGCAAATGTTTCAAAAGCAGTTTATTGTTCTCAATCTTCAGTGGGTGATTTTACTGATAGTTGACTTGAATATTGTATTATTTACTTTAAGTGCTGAATGAAATTTAGTTGCATCTTGAAATGAATAGTTAATTACACGCCTAGAGAGTAAATGTAAACCTTTATGCAGATCTCGTATAAATTATCTATCTCTTAAAGTAAAGCTAAGGGTGACAGTCATAAAATCTGAGACTATTCCGCTTGCTCCTGTGGTGTGTAAGCTGTTTTTTTGACCAAGTCGACCGGAAACAATACTTTTTTCGGTCGAGGTAGGCACTAAGATTTTTTATAATTGGTATGATTAAAAAATAAGCATTTCATAAAAGGCAATGTTCAGTGATATTTTTATTATTACCAATTATCGTTTCACATGTAAATGAAAAAATATCTTTCAATTTCTAAATTTTTTAAGAAATTCAATCGTATCATTTTGCGTCATTGTGGTAAGAAAATAGTATAAAAAGTAAATTTATTCTTACTTCGCATTTAAATTGTACATAGCTTAGAATAAAAAGCTAATTTAAGAAAATTATTATTGTACCCGTAGAAACAAGAGCATCATTCAATCGTATCAAAAGTAGTTGTAAAGGTTTTGCAGTGAAAATAAACAATTAAATGACTAATAAATGTAGTGTTACATGCATTGAAAATACATATTATAAAAAAAGTATAAAGCTTATGCAACTTTTCTTACACCCACGATTTTTTTTATTCAACTTTTCGGCTGCTTTTTATTTTCTGGATACACGAACTAGTGACTAGTATAGTCCATCTTTGACTTGTAATTGTTACATTCAATCTTGAAGATATCAAGTGAAACTGTATATTTTTAATTAATTTTTTTCTTACATTAAGCTCAAAAAAATATACATACCCATTCTTGTACACGTTCAAAGAATTATAAACTAGAAACTTGACACTAGTACGTACTCAATCTACAATTAAATTAATTTGTCATCTGTAAGGTAAATAAGTACACAGTACGACGATCACCATTTAATTATTTATTATATATATCTTTTGAATGATTGAAGTTAGATAACACCTGTTGTCTATCACACGAATCAATCCTTGATGAATAATTGGACGATTATTGAAGTTATTTGTCCACTTATTTAACTTATGAGACACCTTCCTTTGTTTTCCTTGAAAAATTCTCCCTTAATTTGTATGAAAAAAAATTGTATAAGGTAATAAGGTATTAAATCCATGATAAAAAAATTTTTATTTTAATGAAAAATCCAAGAAATAAACGCTCCAGATAATTAAGCAGTCACAGGATTTAATTTCATTGATCGATGGCATGTATACAGTAACTTTTTTACGTAATTTAGTTTTTTTTAATAAACTACCTTCAGTTACGGTAAAATTAAACAAAATCAATATTACGTACCGCACATATCAAAGGAATCTCCGCATTTTTCTGCTGGTTCTTTGAGACAACTGTAGCGGCAGCTCCAGCGAATGTCGCGCCAAGAAGTTCCAAGGCTGGCCCAAGGAGCTATACATTGAAATCGAAAGAAAAACATATTTGTTAGTTATAAATAAAAAAAATATGTAGGTGTGAAAAAAAGTGTTGAGTAAAATCGAGATTTTTTATTTATGTGCTAGTGTAGATTGAACGATGAATGTAGTATTATACTACTAACAATAGAAAATAATTTTTTAGTAAATTTCAGTAATAATGATGTGCTTACAATAGCAGGTATGAATTGTGGTTCCACTGATTCATTTGACTTGGCACTCGAAATTACGAAAATGATGATGCACGAAACAAATACGTGAGAAACATACATTTTAAAAATTTCCAAGAATGAAAATTAAGTGTATCGCTGATTTTTTTTTTTTTTATTTAAATCCAATTGATTTTCATAGAAAAAAATTCTTAGATTTTTCTTTGAATCAGCGTTAATGCCACTTTTGGGCTTAAAGTGACTCACCCGCTTGGAGCAACCAATTTTCGTACCTAAAATGGGCCTTGAATAATTTTTCCGCATATAGACCAAAATATTTTTAATTGTTTGGTACAAGCTGTTAATAGCTTAAAAAAATTAGTGTTGCTTGTTTTTCCTTGTGGTATAGAGGAAATGATTCATTTAGACTAGGAATAAAATTTTTTGAAACATCGGAAACGTGTTTGAATCACAATACATCAAATAATAAATTTTTTGATATTAAGGAATAAAACTCTGTTCACACTACGAGTTTTTTTTTAGATTTAAAAACAAACAACTTCTTATTTTTCTTAATTCAAAAAAGTTTTTTCTTTGTTGCTGAGTTTAGATTAATTATAGAATTTTAATTGGCTCAGTCATTTCTGAGGTATGGTTTTTATGTCAATAGATAGCCATAGGAATTTAAAAAAAAACATCAATAAACTTTTTCATAAAATTGATAACTGTTTGAAAAGAAAAATATTTGTTTTTTGATAAAAATTTTACTTTTACTGAAAATATTCAGTTAAAAATTGGACTTAATATGTATTAAACTATAACATCTTTATAATACCAATAAAAATGTTTAACATTATATATAGTCTAAAATGTTATTAATTGCATACATTTTTATACGTTTTTTGATGGCTAATCTATTGTAACTACAAAAAAAATTTTTTTTAATCATGAGACACAAATTATCTAATAAAAAAAATGTTATTGATGACAATTTGTTTTAGAAACAAAATGTATAATAGTCATTAAGCGATTAAAGAAGCTTTGTGCTAACTCACCATTTATCGCCGTTTTATACTTAATGTAAACTTGTACAAAACGTTATCCTCGTACAATTAGTATAAAAAAACTTCAGTCATAGTAATGTATGAAAAAAAAAAATTTACGACTCCTTTTTCAATCATGTCAGGTATTTTTTCCTCAAAGTTTCGTTATCAAAACACGCTTATTCTTCGAGGCATGTCGTATATATGATGCATTTATTGTTTTTCGTCAATGTCTTGATTTACAAGTAAAAATGGAACCTTAAGTGATGTTTAAATTTGACGTTATGACAAAAAATAAATTTAATTCATACATCGGTCAATTACATATTTGACGAGTCATTGGCCATTCTCGAGGTAGAGCAAAAAATTAGCCAAGTTACGATACGTCCAAACGGATTTCAAAAACAAAAAGATTGCGATGAACTCAACATTTTTAGCCGATTATAAATTGATGGATTTTGTTTTAATTTTATAAATTAAAAAAAAAGGAGTATCAAGTATTAACTATTAAAAAAAGAACAATAGATGTGATTAAGTTGCTTGTATTGTATATTTTTGATAATCGATCATTACATGAATAGTTTGCTCTCTGTATCTACTACAGCAGTTATGGTATGTGCCCTTGTTGGACTTAAATCAGGCATCTTCCTTTGTTCGCTTTCAAAAATCCACCCTAAGTGGAAAAAAAAAAAAATTAAATTTTAGACCTCAATTTTATGACAATAATTATTATACAGTAGATATAAATGAGATGTATCTCACCGCACATTTGATGAGCTCTTACGGGTTTTTAATCACACCGTGGCAGTTTTCAGCTGCTTCTTTGACGCAACTAGCGGCAGCTCCAGCGAATTGTTTGCCAATGATGGAAACAGCTCCTTTAAGTAACTGTATTGAATAACAATGAAAAAATATTTTCGTTTTAGAAAATAGGGATTCCGAAGCGTCTTGTAGATATTGAAATTTTTTTTATTTACGTTTTATTTGTTTATTTTTTTGTGAAAAGCTCATGGCCAAACAATATATAATGCATACGGTTATTAAGTGCAAGAACGCACATTCTCAAAAGTTTATTTGAAAACCCATAATTTTATAATCAATTGAAATAAATATATGATTAAAATTTTTTGAAGATTATATGCTTTTTTAAATATTTCTTAGATATGTTTTTTAGTAGTGTTCGAAGTGAATCACATACACATTTTGGATTTCTATCTAAAAACTTTTTGGATTTTTATTTTAAAAACGTGTCGTGATATATTTTACAATAAGTCAGATGAATTTTTCTACATCGTCATAAAATAACAAAACAATTTTTGAAATAAATTTTTGAGGTCCGTCGTTTTACTATGTATATTAATATAATAGAGTCAATTAGTTATTTTTAATGTATTTAAAAAATTTAGACTTCGGTGTATGATCAGTTCAAAACAAACGAGTAATCAATTTTTAAGAATGAAAAATACGAAAAAAATTTTGTTGTACAAAGTTACAAAACTATACAAATTTTTTGGCTAATTATTTTGATGTACGTAATAATATAATTTTAATAAAAATAATTTTAATGTCTATATCAAGGCAGGAATCGCTTGAGTTTTTTCTTGTGATTCGACATTTACAGTTGCGAAAACTATGATGCACG